TACTCAATGTATGTTGGGCATACTTTCTGATCAAGAAGTGTATTCAAGAGCGTACATTGGGCATCCCATTTGGTATGCCGGGCAGACACGATCATATATCAAACCCAAATTTAAGGGTTTTGTGCCCTATTGAAGCTCCTTAACTCCCCCAAACCCTTTCGATTCTCAACGTCCTCCCTTGAACCCTAAACCTAGTTTGAGCCTTGTGAGTACAAATAAGGTGTTTTTAAGTGATTTGGAGTGTTCTTAGTGCATCTTGGAGAAGAAGAAGCTCATTGGAGAAGTGTTGGTTGCATTGGAGCTTGTAGATCTAGACCTTGTTAACCTTGATCTTTCTTCTAGAGGTATAAAGTTTAAATCTTGATGAGGCATTTGTTAGAGTTAGCTAGTTTTGGGTGTTATGAGATTTTAATCACTTTAAGTGCATAAAGTTTAGATCTTGAAAGTTTGAGACCATGTCGTGGATAAAGTTGGAAACTTTATCCATCTAAACATCATATTGATTCATATTTGACTAGATAATGGTTGTTTGGACCATTCTAATGGATAAAGTTGAAAACTTTATCCATTATGGAGTTATTAAGAACCATAAAAATGCTATCTTGGTCCTTCTATCCCTTCCATGCAAGAGTTATGATGTCTTAATGGATTAATAAGTTAGGGATTTAGCTTTTGGACCTTTTCTAGCTTTGGAAAGTCATAAAGGTGGAAACTTTATGACTTAAGTCAATGTTTTGAGTCTAGATCTGAGTTCTGGACAAAAGGTCTTAAGGTATAAAGTGCTTAATGGAATATTGAGATAAGCCATAGTATATTCGGCGTACCTGGGGGTATGCTTGGCGTACTGGACTTGAATCGCATATGTTCAGAGTACGTTGGGCGTACACAGCTTGTCTTGGACTTTAACTTTCGTTGACTTCTGGTGACTGACTTTTTGACCAAGTTTGACTTTACGTCAAACTTGAGGATTTTGGACTAGTGATTAAGAGTTTATCTGGTTCAGGTGTTAGTGGATTCACGAGAGCAAGCAGTGTATAAGGGAGCCTATCGCAGTGTTTCAAGGTTCTTCGATTCAGGTGAGTTTCCTTACTGTACTTGCAGGTTGAAGACACCAATGTCGACCCACTTGGTTATGTATCGTGGTATATAGGATGTTGATATGCTATGGTGATATGTTAGATATGTATCCTGGTATATAGGATGTTGATATGTTATAGTGACATGTTAGCTATGTATCCTGGTATATAAGATGTTGATATGCTATAGTGATCTTTTAGATCTGAATCCTTGTATATAGGATGATGTTATGCGGTAGTGATCTATAGATTTGCCTGTTTGTCTTTTGACTAGTTATATGTTTATCTGATGCATATGTTAACATGGTGTGGTTGTTGAGACTGTACTGCTTTGTGCTGCCAGTCAACAAACCCGGGGCAATCCAATCGAGAGGTTATGGGCCAGGGCAATCCAACGAGGAGGTTGTGGTGTAGGGGTAATCTAACCGGGGGGTTGTGAACCCAATATGTAGTATGTATGGCAATCCAACAGGGAGGTTACGGGCCAACACAATCCAACAGAGAAGTTGTGGGCCAGCGAGAATCCAACCGGGAGTCCGATGACTAATTGGACTCAACACACATGATTGTATATGTTATCTGTTTGTGTGAGGGTACTTTGGGGGAACTCATTAAACTTTGTGCTTACAATTTCAGTTTTATGTTTCAGGTAATTCAGATGATCGAGACAAGGCGAAGACTTAATCATGCACATCATCTTGGATTTGTGAGATTATGATTTTGGGATACTCTGGTTCACATTTATGACTTTTTGAAACTATGATTTGTAAACGCTTAGGATTTTGGATTGGTTTAAAAAAATGAAAAAAAAAATTGAGTTTGAAATTTTTTAGTTAAAGACCCTGAATATTTCTTATGATTCTCATCATTTTTGTAATTCTTAGATCTCTCTCTCTCTCTCTCTCTCTCTCTATATATATATATATATATATATATATATATATATATATATATATATATATATATATATATATATATATATATATATATATATATGCGTTGAGAACTCAAATATTCGTCAAAACCCAATAACTAAAGATGGAACATTAGATCAATATAACTTTATTAATGCACAATTGTCATTTTTCTTTCTAAGGTTTTTACCAATCTATGGATTTGTCGGTTATGTGCCGTAGGAGCGATAGCGATGACCTCAAATTTCTTGCTTGGGTTTTTAGTTTCTCGCATAGCTAGACTTCATCAGGCTCATTCCTTCCTCTCAAATCTTGATACCAAAATATGGTAAAGAAATAAAGTTTCAAACTCAGTTCATAAGGAATTATAATTCTTAACCTATATTTTTTTATATACGTAAGTAGATTTGTTTCCATTAAACTATAATTTTGTGCAACCACTTTGTTGGTTTTAAGTTTCAAGGCCAATATATTTTCAACAAAATTCTATGTTTGTTAATAAATTCTAAAAGCAATTTATTTATTTATTTATTTTTGTAGTAATTTGAAGTCGAAGTTTATTTGTCGATATAATTTATATTTAACTATACAATATAATTATTTTATCATTAATCTAGACATAAAAAAACGTTAATCATATTTTCAAAACACATTGCAAAATGTCAAGAATCCGATTTTTTTTTAAGAAAGAGCAATCCATGCACAAAAAATGAAGTCGTTCAATATAGAAACGATTGTTTGTTATCACTATTTTCAGAAGCTGAAAATGAATACTTAAGTTCTGATGATCATTGTCATTCAGAGTATGTTCAAGATGACTTTGATGAAATTTTATATTCACCCGATATTCTAAATGGTCTTAAACTGTAAGGTTTGCGCATTTATAAGTTGGCATTAAAAGTCGGTGTTCCAAATATATTGGTAAGGAATATTGATCAGAAATGTGGTTTGTATAATGGAACGAGGTTACGGGTTATAGCATTGGGTAATCATGTTATAAAAGCAGAGATAATATTCGTGAGTAATATACAAAACCATACGTTTATTCTAAGAATGTCTTTGACGCCTTTAGAAAAAAGGGATTTCGTTAACAATTCAAGAAACAATTTCCACTGATTGTATGTTTTGCAATGGCAATAAACAAAAATCAAGAACAGTTGTTATCAAAAGTAAGTTTGCTTTTTAAACAACCAATGTTCACTCATACGTAATTGTATATTGCATTGTCCAGAGTTAAAAACAGAAATCGATTAAAAATATTAATTTTAGACGATGACGACAAAATTACCAATAGAACACCTAATGTCGTATTAAAAAAAATTCTTTGCAAATTTATGATTACCCATTTATTTAAAATATCTTATTAGTTTTTTTATTTGTATACATTGAACTACTTATTCATTATTTCATTTATGATTACACGTATAATAGACACATGTCTCCACATTTTATGTAACACATTCATTTAAAATATATTATTAGTTTTTTTATTTGTATACATTGAACTACTTATTTATTTTATCTCTAAATTTTATGATTACACATATAATACACAAAGAGGTCTCCACATAGTTTCTAAAAATATATGTATGAAATACATGTTAAAACATGGTGAAATATTTTCACTCTTATAGTTGGATTCTAGGTTTTGCTACAACTATTATAGTAATGTCAAAGGTGCTTAACTAAGTATTAATGGTACTTGATATGACTTTAAGATACCATGACATGTAAATTAGTATATTATGGTAAAAGTTAGCAGCTTAATGGTTATTCATCTTTGGTGACCTATTAGTATATTATGGTAAAAATTAGCAACTCAATGGTTATTCGTGTTTGGCGACCTATGTAGGTGTTTGACGTTTACAATTGTAATTTGATCTCTAAGAGGCGTTGTGTAGGGATGTATCCGTTCCGGAACCAGACCAAAACCAGGATAATCGAAGCTCTATTAAGAAGTGAACAGAGAACTTAATACGACTAATTAGTTCCAATTGATTCCGTACCGCTATCGAATCCGATGCAGTTCTATTAAACAATATGTTATCTTAAAATATATTTAATACCAATACTAGTACCAGAACCAACCAATCGGAACCAAAATAACCTAAAATTCAATATCTCTAACCGGTTTAATTTTTCAATTTTTTGGTTAAGAAGCTCATCTGTACTTTAATGGGGTAAATTTCATGTAAACTTGAAATGGTCGCTTATAGATCAATATTTAATAGTTTATAAAAAAAAATTGTGTGTTTAGCAACCAACTTTTGAAATCTTGAGCTTTCACTCTTTAAGAAAAATATCAAATTACAAAAAAGAAAAAATAAATCTTTTGTTACGAGCTTAAATATTTTACTTTAGAACAAAAAAAAAAAATTAATAATCCAAAAGCAATTATTTGCCCTTTTAAATTTTGTACAATTTACTCAAACATTTCTACATAAATAAAAACTACACTTTTTGGCTACAGCTGCTGTCTCTCAACGATTATTTTTTCCAAACATACGCATTTGTAAAACATAATATCAGTACACAACAATTCGTGACATTTTTATCAATCTTGTGTGCATGTTTTGTGCAAATATATATTATGAGATATACAACAGTTCCATATGTAAATAGATATCCCCTACAATGGCCTACTTTCGTGGTCCTAATATGCGGGATACAAACGCGTAACAATAGCCGAGAGACAGAGATGTGAGATATAAATCATATAATCCATTCATGGTTTATATGTGTTACACGTTGCATAAAATCTTATTCATAAAAATATTTACTTTAAGAATATAATAAAATTGTCATTGAACTTAATGATATTGATGCCTTTAAGACTAGTTTGGTGGTCCATTTTTCTTAGTACTTTTCATAATTATTGTATCTGCCACAATACCAAATCCATTTAAAATAGGTAGCCCACAAATACCAAATCCATCTTATAAACTACATACGAAACACACTTTTTTACTATGGTCACAAATTTCTACAACAAAAAAAAAAAAGTACCATCATCAGAATCAAACAGAGAAAACGTAACAAGAAGAAGCCATACTGAAACACCAACAAACATATTTATATTTCATATATATATAATATGCGTCTCTTAAAACATGTATACACATAATATATATATAAGGGTTCATGTTCATCCCACAAACTCAAATCAACAACACATATGCTAAAAAAAACTAAGTAAAAATAACCTTCAGGAATTAGGATGCTCTCCTTTCTTCCTCTCCTTTGGATCCAGAAGTTGGAAAGTAGGATCTCATGAAACAGAGTCAACAAACAACAATGGCGTTCTTTCAACCACACACCAAGTTATACGCTTTTCTTCAAGCAGAAGCAACAAAACACATACTTCCAGATCCAGCCAAACCCCTTAGCTGAAAACTGGATAATTAGTACTTAGTAGAAATAGTGGCACACAATCTTACATTCTGCAAACGAAACCTCAGAAGGGTATGTCAATCTAATCAAACTAGTGAAGTAGTGGAAAGTAGATAGATAGTCTACTCACAATCAGAGATTGGTGTCACAAAGCTGCGAATCTCATCCATCACTGTATGAAAGTGATCATTATTAGGCAACAAGTAAAACCCAATTGTAGCTTTTTCAAGGTATAGAAGTTTCACATCTTGTCCAGCTTTTTTAAGCCCATCTGCATACGCTAATTGCCAATCTTGAATCAAGTCCAAACCAGCAACAACCACAAGACTTTTCGGGAATTTAACTCCTTCAAGAGTTACACCTCTTGGCCCAAAAGGATTACAAGCTGGATGATCTCTATCTTCGCCTTCAGGAAGAAAAGCTTTCCAATACCAATCTCGATCTTGAATTGTCACAAAGTATTTTGTATCCAAACGTTTCTCAGATTCAGTTCTTGTGTTCCCACCAAACATTGGGTTTAAAAGTATGTTTCCGAGGACTTGGATTCCGGATTTGACTGCACGTGAAGCGACTTGATGGACGATGTTGCCACCGGAGCTGTCTCCGGCGAGGTAGATGTGAGCTTTTGAGTCTTTGGATTGTAGCCATGGACGTGAGTTGACCCATTCAAGAGCAGTCCAGCCATCGTCGTATGCGCTAGGGTAAGGGTTTTCAGGAGCACGGCGGTAGTTTACAGAAACCACGACCGCGTTGCAGAGAGTGACGAGGCGGCGGCAAAGAATGTCGTAGATTGCGCTATTTGCAGATGAATGGGCGAAGCTACCACCGTGGAAGAATATTATGATGGGGACGACGTCGGAGGTTGATACGGGTTTTTTAAGTTGAGAGAATGTTGTGGAGAGTGTTGCATCGGGTTCAGTGTCGTTTGCAGGTCGGTAGATTCGAGAGAGAAGGTTAATTGTTTGGTCGATTACGATATCGAAGGAGAAAACTCCGTCGACGGGATTCACGTTCGCTGGGACTTTCCGGTCGAGGAATTCTGCTAAATGGCGGTTGAAAGTACCGTCCGGTCGCCGGAGAAGGTTGTAAGCCAGCTTGAAATTAGACATGAGGATCCATTGATTCAGTGGAACGACCCTCTATGAACATAAACAAAAGCAAACTTTGAGAAATAGTAAACAAAATTCCCAATCGATGGAAATAAACCATTAAACCCTAGCGCCAATTCAGAATCTAAACCAGTGAAATTAACTGCAAATTATACGTACTACGTAGCATGTCTTTAGCTTTTCCTAATTGCTTTCTATCTCAGTGTAACCTATTCTCGATATATATCAATGAAATTTGAAACTTCAAAGCCCGATCGATAGATAGAGGAAAACCTCGAAAAATCGGAGCAAGACAAACCAGAGAAGAAAATATGTACGCAAACGGAATGATAATTGATGAGAGAAGAGGTTAAGAGCGTAGATACCTTTGATTCGCAGACGTTAATTTGGTCACTTCCCGCCATAAACGGATACTTTGAAGAAGATTTAAACAAAACGTAAAATAAGAAAAAAGCCCTAAACAGACGTTGAATGGCGATGTATGATGTATCTTCTTGGAGCTTCAGAGCTTGAGAAATGAAATCAATGGAACATCACATTTCTAGTCTAGTGAATATTGTTTGATTCGATGATGGATACGTGGATGTGCCAGGGGGATCCATGGAAGTAGAGGGGTGGCGAGTGAAGGATAAGGTGAAAGAAAAGGGGTTGATGCGCAGGTTAGCAAGAAAGTATGGGATAAGGCTAAAATGTTAGGTGAGAATGGGGTGTGGCTAAGCACTAGGGACAATAGAAACGATAAAAGAGAGACCCAAATGGTACCGTACTCGTGTGTAGTTGTATTTAAGTGAAGTGAGCCCCGATTATTATTATTTTACACCACATCACTCAAATATCTTTATATTATTATTATTATTATTATTATTATTTTGGATTTTAATTGCATTATTCAATTTAAATGTAACAATATATTTAACTTAAATTAATTAAAGTTTGTTTGATAATTGTTGATTGACTCAGTTGAATCGGACACAACCATGAATCTAACTAAAATGTTTTAAGTGTCATATCAAATAGTCTAAATCTGATTAATTCGGATTTAGCTTCTTACCTAACCCAATAAAAACATATCCAAGTGCTTCTAAAACTTTTTTGTCAATTTAAAATAATTGTTTGGAATTCCGTTATTAAAAAAAAAAATTAGTAATTGTAAGTTGTAACAACTTTTTGTTATGACACTTTGTTTAATTTGAAAAATATGAAAGCAAAAAACGTAAATTTCATAAAATTAGTTGTCTTGGAAATGGTCGAAGAACCAAAAAACAAAAAACAAAAAAGTTATACATAATGACAGCTTGCACAGATATCTTTCGAGAGGATACTTGATGATGCACAGCTCGACATGTGTTTATCCATGGCTCCATAAAATTCAGTCTAGAATTTAATAAGAAAAAAAAAAGATAAATAGTTAAAGGGAATACATATGTTTTTAAAGGAAAGCTGTAAACAATAAAAATGGTTTTTGCTTGGTTAGTAATAGGTATATGTTAATTAAAAAAAGGTTATATATATATATATATATATATATATATATATATATGTTAATTAAAAAAAAGGTTATTAACAACTTTTGATTTATATGAAAAATAATAAAATAATGAATTATTAAAATTGATTTTTTATCTTTCAAATTTAAATAAATAAACAAAATAAACTAATAAACTTTAATTTTGAAATTTTGAAATAAGAAGATAAATTCATTAATGAAATTAATATTCATTTATTACTACATTTATTATAATTATTATATTAAAATATTATGTAAAATTTATTAAAATAGAAAAACCTATAAAATGATATATGGAAAATAAATTAATTCAAAATAACCATAAAATAACATTTAACAAATTGAATAAAAGTGTGACATGTGAAAAAAAAAAAAAAAAAAAAAAAAAAAAAAAAAAAAAAACTTTATTTAGTAGAATAGATTTTCACATTTGGTCCAACTTTTATTACTTTTAGTTTTTATCTATGGGCTTATTTTTGATTTTGGTTCTTGTTTTATATATTTATAATTTTTTATTATAATAATTTCAAATTTGGTTGAGCCATCATAAGAGCCTTTAAGGGTCAAAAATTAGACGATGTAAACCAATTTATTTTTCGGGTTTGATTGGATCTACCTGAGTCGGGTGAGCCCTGGCCTTTCCAATTTTATTATAACAAAACTACGTGTTCTTTGTCATCATTTAGAAAACCACTATAAGCTTTTAGGCATGTTGTATTTAGTTTTTTTACACCTCTCACATGCCTCTCTAGCTACTAATTCTTTCTACAAATTATCCTTGATTGTATTTGCAATCTCAAATAGATTACAATAAAAATGGCTTTATTGTGCGATGCTCAAACAAGCTTGAAGATTATTAGCAAAACAAGTCGCTAGGCCAAGGTTTGTGTGACAACCCGAAATTTTCCATCCTGTTCAGTCTAACACTTCATTAAAAGTCAAACTCATTTCTGCTATCATTTAGCACAATTTAGAGTTTGTTTGAGAGTTCTGAGCCTTGTACATTTAAGGGATAAGTGTCTGGGTTTATCTGCTGAAGATATAGCACAAAGAACAAGTCTAAAACCCCTTTACAAGGAGTTCATGGCCACCACATGGGAATTTACAGCCCTAAACTCCATGTGGGTCGTAAACTCCCCCTATATGTTGATATTTTGGCCATTTGTTCCATTCTTTCACTTCCTTGGCTGAAATCCTCTCAAGTACCATCCCGATCTTCGTCCCCGATCTTCAAAACTTGTAAGTTTATTGTCCTAACTAGTTGATATCTTACATGAACTAGTGATCTTACATGATTTCATTCATGAAATCATTCCATTTTGTAGATCTTCAAGTTTCACCAAGAACACACACTAGTGTTCTTGGCCAAAATCGACCATTCAAGCTCCTAGACCGTAAGTACTCTTGTTCTAACTCGTTGTACACTAGGTTTAACATGTTTAGGGCTTAGAAATCACAAAGAATCATGTGATCAAAGGAGTTTACGACCAAGACATGTTCTTGGGCCGTAAACCCCTATAAGTGGGGCAAAATGCACCATAATCCCTTACCAAGTCTTGGATACTAATCCAGATCATATCCTTGATGTACTTAGGACCTTAAAACATCAAAAAGACCATGAATCATTAGAGTTTACGGCCGTAATCACATTTATAAATGGTTCATGGGCCGTAATCTCCACAAAGGAGTGAATTGATGCTACAATCACTTCCAAAGGCTTAGACATGAAGTAGGAATGATTCTTTATGACTTATAGGCTTCAAGTGTCACACCCCCGAACCAGACGGCGGAAACGTCCGAGGGCTGTAGTGACTCAATTGAATATCATCACAGTGAATATACATGAAACATAACATCATTCATCACCATGCATCGGAATAGTACAACTGGTAGTGTTTACATTTAGTACTTTGTTTCAAAACATTACATTCCCAAAAAGTAGATTGTTCGATACTAGTTAAACAAACATCAAGATATCAATGAGTACATTTTTCCCTTCGATTTACCTGTTACCTGAGAATACAAGCATTTTGAAAACGTCAACATATGGAATGTTGGTGAGTTCATAAGTAATGTTTGAAATATAATGTTTTGTATTGTTTTGAAAGCCGTCAGAAAATCCGATATTTTCTGTAACAAAATATTGTATAAAAAGTGTGAAGATCCGTAAGTATGCTTTTTTGTTGCTATAAATGTAATAAAAATTGTTATACTTGGTATGCATCTCGAAGGTGTATGAATTGAAAACCCTAGGAAAACCCGATGTTTTCCTAACACTTTGAATTACGCGTTTTATAATTTGTTGTACCGTTGCGACGTGTGTATTTGATGATTCCAGGTGACATTGGATTAATTATGGATTGTGAATTGTTATAAGCACGCATTAATGAAAACGACTAGTTTACAATTATACAAACGATTCCTTAGGCGTCGTCCGTATTATTCACTTAATCCAATCACCCCGACTTCTTATAGCCCCACGACTGAGAAGGAAAGAGGGTACGAAACCCCGATATTTCCATAAGTCGTTCAAGGCTATCGTGAATGCGAAAGGCCCTTGGCTCGACCTGCATTTGTGAATTCTCGACTTTACTAGCGGTACCAAAGGACCCTTGGGGCCCAACGGCACAAAAGCCATTGAAAGTCCTTTTACACGGAATTAGGTCATATAAGACCCAACAACATGTAAGCGAGTTCCCTTCGAGCCTAAGGATCATGTCATTGGGTTAGCTAGGCCCAACAAGCACGATTTGAAACTTTCAGGCCCAAAGATGGTGTATCGACGTCTGGTGTATTCCCACGTGTGTATTGAATTCCCAAAATTTCCATGTGTGTATTGACGTATCGTCGTATTATTATTGTTGGGTTCGTTGTGAATTCGAGACCGAATCAATTCATTTGGTAACGATTTTGGTGTTGAAGGTGTATTATATTTCGCCGTTCGCCGGTAGTCGTGGTACTGGTATTTTATCATAATAGATTTATTATTTCAAAATACTAAAATTTTTCTTTTTGTAACCCCTTTCTTTTGGATAAATTACAATTTTTGGCCCTTTGTATGATAGAATTTTCCATTTTAGTCCTTAATCCATTTTTTTTCTTGACACTATAGTATCAAAACTTGTAGAAAAGACATTTTTCAGCTCAAATTTATTGGAAAAACAGTTTTAGTCCCTCAAAATGAAGTTTTCTCGGCTGGAACCTCAATTTTTCGCAATTTTTACACTTTTGGCCCACAATAGAATTTTTTTGCATCTTTGGTCCTTTTTATATGTGAAAAGCATTTTTAACTCTTGAAATGGACTTGGTACACTAATAGTCCCCTGTTTTACAGAAAAGTGCAGTTTCACCCCCTCTAAATTAAAAATCTCGCAATTTGGGCTTTATTGGACCGAAAAGTTCATTTTTGGCCCATTAAGTTTAAAAATTCACATTTTAATCCATCAAAAGAGTAAATTTTCAGAAAATACATTTTTGAATCTGTTTTGACTCATCTCAACCCTCAGAATCTGTATTTTGTCATTTTGGGCCCTTTAGTTTTATATTTTTAGCATTTTGAGCCCAAAAATAGGTTTTAAGCCCAATGAGGTTCATATTAATCAACTTGGTTATTTTTCTATAATTGATTTGTATGAAATAATATAAGTTGTACTTATTTCATTCAACATATTGTAGATATCATTTTCTAAACTCATTTTGACTAGGTCCAACACCACAATCACATAGAACATATATATATATATATATATATATATATATATATATATATATATATATATATATATATATATAAGCATAGAAATCACACAAAGCATACATATACTCATAGATCTACACATTTGCTTGTATCCCCCCCCCCCCACAAAACTTATAAAAACCGAAAAATAAGGGGTATGAAGCTCACCTTTTCTTGTGGTTTCGATTTGAAGAAGAAAAGAGAAGAGTTTGTTGCTATTTCGGCCCTAGCAACCTTTCCTTGGAAGATCTCGAATTTAAGGAGCTTCTTAGGTGATGAATTACTTTATGGAGATCCTTAGACTTCAAGCCAAATTTTCGAGATTTTGGATGGAGAGGGTGGATGATTCTTGAGTAATTTAGAAAGAGTTTTGTGAGGTGTGTGTGTTCATTTCTTGCTCTCGGCCGAAGGAAAAAGAAGGAGAAAGAAATAGATCTTGAAGTGATATGTGCATGGAAATATGAGATAAGATGCATGGAAAACCAACATGTAAAAATGAGGTGGCTACAAAAGTTAACTCTCCCTTTTTAC